CAGTCTGCGATAAACAATTTAATTTTGATAAAGCAACAAATACTAGTTTACAGTACCATTGTCCTTTAAAAATACAAATATATTTTTTCCAATCTTTGTTAAATTCTCTTTTGACTGTGATGTTAACTGCTGTACACAATTAACATACATTTGTTAAAAAAAAAATATTGATTCTATGATATACATGTATATTTGCCAAATGAAAATAAAAAGCTTATATTTAAGCTCAATTGTGTTTTTTTGTTAATTGGAATGAAAAAATCAAAGTAAAATGTTTTATTAGAAGAAAAATTAAAGGTTAATTTATGTCGGTATGACACCGGTTTCAAATCGATTGTTAGTGAACGTATTAAGCGAACAGTAGTATAAACGTGTTCTCTCTCATTCTACAGTATCGAACAGATGGAAGCGAACACTAGTATAAATGTGTTCTCTCTCTAAATGACATAACCATTATTTAACAGTGTAAGCGAACACTTGTATAAACGTGTTCTCTCTCATTCTACAGTATCGAACAGTTGTGAAAGAACACTAGTATAAACGTGTTCTCTCTCTCTCTCTCTCTCTCTCTCTCCCTCTCTCTCTCTCTCTCTCTCTCTCTCTCTCTCTCTCTCTCTCTCTCTCTCTAAATGACATTACCATTATTGAACAGTTGTAAGAGAACACTAGTATAAATGTGTTCTCTCTCTAAATGACGTTACCGTTATTGAACAGGTGCAAAAACGTGCTCTCTCTCATTCTACAGTATCGAACATTTGGAAGCGAACACTGGTATAAATGTGTTCTCTCTCTAAATGACATTACCATTATTGAACAGTTGTAAGCGAACACTAGTATAAACGTGTAATCTCTCTAAATGACGTTACCGCTATTGAAAAGATGTAGGAGAACACTAGTATAAATGTTTTCTCTCTCTAAATGACGTTACCGTTATTGAACAGTAGGAAGCTAACGTGTTCTCAGTCATTCTACAGTATCGAACAGTTGGAAGCGAACACTAGTATAAATGTGTTCTAAGTCATTCTACAGTATCGAACAGTTGGAAGCGAACACTAGTATAAATGTGTTCTCAGTCATTCTACAGTATCGAACAGTTGGAAGCGAACACTAGTATAAATGTGTTCTCAGTCATTCTACAGTATCGAACAGTTGGAAGCGAACACTAGTATAAATGTGTTCTCAGTCATTCTACAGTATCGAACAGTTGGAAGCGAACACTAGTATAAATGTGTTCCGGTCAACAAGTATATATAGTTGATAAACTGTAATCAAATGCACTGTGAACATTTTCAAATCATAGGCATATGGAAGTGGTGATTTAGTTCATGCTATCTATTTGTGTAATAGATTAAATCAGTTATATACTATTCATATCACTCACCATACTAAACTGTCTCCCAAAGATTTTCCACAGAAAATAAACCTAAAATCCAGTTTTTCATTGACACACTGGTATTTAATTCCTTTTAATATATACGTGTTTTAATATTCAATTCAATAAAATGAGGATGTGTACTTATTAAATTGCATCGCCATAATTCATTATCAGGATTTTGAAAATTTATATAAGGAAAATATTTGTTTTTGCAATTAAAGTTCGGTATATAAATTTAAAAGAGGATAATTTTTAAATCTTAGTATATAATTCAATTTTTTAATTTTACGATATACAGCTCCTTGTTTAGTTTTGTAACTATAGCTGGTCACTAGTAGAAATATGTCTCAGTAAACGGTAGTAATATCGCTGTTGTTGCGCGATAGGTAAAATATAGTTAGGGCCCAGGTATAAGGTACGCTAAAGGAAAGAAACTGAACTAAATTTAGCGGAGAAACACCTTTTAAAAGTTCTATTTCTGTCTATATGGTGATCAACAGTATATGAACGTGACATTCAAAGAATGTTACATATATCTGAAGATAACTTCAAAGATTTATCGTATAAAGCAGGAAAGAATGTAAAATATAACAGAACCTTTATTGAAGAAATGGACAGGTCAATCTTGATCGCAATACTTATACCGTTACCATAAAAGGATACTGACCTTTGATATCAACATAATGTCCAACTTTAAAGTTAAATGAACAATTTCACGTTTTTTACATAGAAAACGTATGTTTCATAAAATCGTTTGTAGTAAAGTTAATCTTTTTGAAAATGTGGCGACTATTTCTTATAGGATAGAAATATTGAACAGGTGCCTCTAATATAATACGTCTAGAATTATGATAAATTGCTTTTTCTGAAATGCATTATCGTGCTGGTATAAAGACTAAAGTGCATTAAGGTGCCTATTTATCAATAACTGAAATGCATTATTGTTCTGATTTATAGGATAATATGGCGTACCTCTTAGTAAAGAACTTTCAGAAAAGGACGAAATGGTCTGAAATGCCTTATCGTGTATTGTACATTATTAATATGCAAGATTGCAAAGGTCCTGCCAAGAGTAATTTTGTGAAACACAATGTTTTCTCATTTATGTTACAAAATTGAATTTAATACACATGTCTGTATGCTTATATGAAACTATTGATATATTTATATTAAATATAAATATAATTTAGAAATGACGGCACTGATGTTTCGATTTTTGTATTATGTTTTATTGATGTTCAAGGATAATATTTTGTATATCTTCTCAACAGTAAGGTGCGAAAATCGAACAGCGTTATATACGAAAATCGGCACCGGAAGTTATTTCCGCTTGAAAAAAAGTACATTCGTGATCTTCCTTATTTTATCGTGTTAGAATCGAAATAACATGTTTTTTCTTAAACAACAACAACATATTGTTGAGTACATGTACTGTTTTTTAATATATAAATTAAATACATCCAGTTAAAATGCTTTGTATTGTTGTAAAAGTGTTTTTGAACAAATGAACAGCATGTTGTTACTGTTATCTTGTTTATAAATGTATATATTATATAGATGGTATTACGTCAACAACAATTTACGAAATAGATGACGTAACAAAAATGCCTCGCGCTTTTTATGGATGATTCCAGTTGCGGTAGTGACAGAGGGCGGTTAGGCAAATGTAACCTCATACAGATATTTTTAAGCGTTGAGATAAAATTTATTTGTCTTGATGGCATTTAAAATATTTTTGTATACTTAGATTTTGCAACTTAACTGTTAAAATTACACCTTAAATTCATATATTAGATTCTTATAATTAATAAAACTTTTGATACCATTTTTAAAAATAATTTTAAACACACTTAATGCCATGAATCTATAACAGTAGATCTAGATATACAATACTTTTTCCATTGATTACATATAACCTTCGTTTTGATTATATGTTTTTAAACTATTTTTATATTTCTCAGAAATGATTTCCCTACATATTATCTTGTTATTCAAGACTTCTGTAAATAGAGGATAGTTCTTTTTATAAATACATGATTTATTTTCATCGAGTGGTATGAAAATAAATAGTTCATGAGTGGCGGTAGCCACGAGTGAAATATAGTAATTTTCATGCCACAAAATAAATCATGTATTTATAGAAAAAACATGAATTTTCTGTTTATTATATACATTTTTTCTCTTTTTTGACTTTAAAATTTGAAAGACTTTCACTTAAATTTTGTGTACTGGCAGAATTTAAGTGAAAGTAGTCCGGCAAGACACCAGTGAAAATACGGAAAATATGTTTCACTGCAGTGAAAAATACATTTTTACAGTGAAAATACGGAAAATGAAAATACGCATTTTATTGTAAGACGGAAAGTTAGATCTGTTTTTACGAGCTTAAAGTGTATAGGCCTACTTCTGATTGCTGAAACTAGAAATCATGATATTACGAGTACATTAATTCTTATAATCGAACGCGAGTCTGTGTTCTCTCATTAGCGAGGGAGCTAGTTAAAGTAGACACTGTGGTTACAAGCAAGCCAATGCTGAACATATAGTGAATCAGTTCCCCTTTCTATATATTTCTTGTCAGATTTGCATGGTTGGCGATTTCTTGTGAAAGTTGAAATCTACAGAAAGTAAATAGCGCACGAACATCGCACCCGAAATAACAAGGGTAACATATTTTTGTATCCCATCGAATTTGGTTGATTTAATTAACACCAACTTTGTTCTCATTTTCTTTTTAATGATAACATTTAGCTATTGATCAGTACGTAAATAAGAATAATCATTTTTTATAATTACCGAGTAAATTCCACGCTAATTGTGAGACGAACCCTAAATGACGTCTTAGATCAACTACAAATAGAAACATAATACATGTAAGATCTAATACGAAATACGTTAAAAGAACTTTTAGAAATAATGCAATGCAAGTATGGAATAATTTTCCTTTATATATTAAAGAGTCTTCGTCTCTATATGCTTTTAAAAGAAATATGAAAAAATATTTGATTGATATACAATTTAAATGAATCTGATGTATGCATGTGTCTTTCAATTTGAATGGTTGTTGTTTATGTTGTTTTTAATATGTGTGTACATATTTGTGACTTTCATTATCTTGTTTAATTGAAGGCCATATTGTAAATAAGATTTGTATTTCTTAATATGTTACCTTCATGAAATAAAGTGTTTATTATTATTATTATTATTATTATTATTATTATATGGGCGCCGCCATTTTGAAATGGACGTCACGTCAGGTTACAACGTAAGTCAACGGGAAAAAAAATAAATTTTAACATATTGACCATATTACTGACAATATGAAAAAAATGAAAAACATGCCAAGAGATATTGAAGTCAGGGTTAACATGACATCAATCTAAATGATTTTACTATTATATTAAATAAAAAATGGAATATTCAAATTTGATGGGACAGACAATAGTAAGTTAAATCTTTGTACTCTTAATGTGTCACCTTCTCAAATTAAAGTTAATAGATTCTATTATTATCTTTTTTCCAGATGAGTTTAATTTAATACCAGAATGACAACATAATGACTGAAAGTGTAACATAAAGCTAACTGTATTTAGTACTTTAGAGCCTTTTCTGTAAATATTGTACCACGGCATATAGTCCTGCAGCAACAACAACAACAAGAAGATGGCGGCGTCCATGACGAAATGCAAATTTCGTGTTATAGCAAGGAAGTTATGTGATAGACATCTGTTGCGATTATTGTCAACATCAAACACCAGAGAACATAATATCTCAAATAATGATCCGGCTGAAAGAAAAACACACTTTGGATTTGAAACTGTCACAGAAGCTGAAAAAGAAGATAAAGGTCAGATTCGCTGAAACTTTGAAAGTGAAACACCTGTGTCCTTGGTTTTCGGCTTTCTTATGCACCGTGATAGTCTACGTCTAGCCCAATGTTTTATTCTCACATAACCTTAGCCTCTTGGTGTTTTGAAAAAGTATCGTTAAAATTGCTATATTCAATACACCTTATATGAAATTAGGCAAAGCCTATGAACAGGGAAATCGTTAAAAATATCCTTTCATTCTTTCCGTTTTAAAGGTGTCATTCGGTATTACATGCACTGCTTCCGTTTTCACTCTGAACACTCGACGTTTTTTATTAATCTGAAAAGTTGAGATTTGTTCCGTAATCGGAATACCCCGCCTATTATCATTGAGTTACATTGTAAATGGCGGCGCCCCACTAGAACTGACACTGAAAATTTCATTGATAGGTATAGAATTCTATATTTTTTTAAATTGTTTTTTATTTGATTTTCTTTTAAATATTTACGTGTAGTCTATAGCCGGGCAAGCCAAAGCCCGGACCCGCTTCGCGGGCCCGGTCTTTGACTTCCCCGTATAAACTGTTTCCTAATTAGCAGACGACAGACTATTCTTATCAGTTGAGTTTGGAGTAAAGTTAACTGGTTGCGTACCTCATGGTATAAATCGTATGTGAAATGGTCTGTCAGGTGGTAGGTTTAACAGTTAATATCAATGTCAAAAGATATGTTGAATTATATACTGATACAAAGCTAAGATCCTGATCTTTTCATTGGTGTAAGAATTTTGAAAATCGGATAATAATTCACAATAAACTGACAGTTTAAACAAGGCGTTATTTGTATTGTTTTACCAATAGAAAGATTGATTTTACTCGAAGTTAAGGGACATAACTCGTATTTTTTCACTCGATATACCTTGGTTATTTACATAGGTCATATAGAAAGTGTTTATGGGTGTATTAGGAAGTACAGTTCAGATTTTTCTTTTGCAAAACTGCATGATTTCATTTCAAAGAAAATTTCTATTTTGAATGGGTATCTTTAGGCTTTTATGTATGCATCTAATTTACAAGTTGAAAAATCACTGAAGCCCCTGTTTTTTTATCTAAGACGAGGAAGTTATATTATAAACTATTTTCTATGGCTGTCATTGAATAAATCACAGTATCGATATATAATAATAGCCAACGATCTGAGATAAGCATTGTATATGTCACTGATAAGAGACCTATTCTATAAATAGCCACATATCGATAAGTTTCGGACAAAGAATCTAGATTATTAATCTACTATTTTACCTAATAATAGAAGTCATTTTTTATAGTTTTCTTGGCTTACTTGAACTTTAAACTCCATTTTCAAATGTCAGTGACAAAAATATCAGTGACAAAAATAACAGAAAAACAAAATTTATTTTAGCTTGTAGTATTTATAATGTCTTATTCAAGCATGCAAAACACCATGATCTCAATTTATAACAAATATTAAAATTTTTTCATTGTATATACTCCACTGTCAAAGTTGATATATCATCGATATTTGTCTTGATATATGGATTAAAAATTTTCCATCAATGACAGCCCTACTATTTTCCATGGTTAAGCAGCTTAGCTTGGACAAGGCCAAAATTTCTCTAGCGGTTAACTTTATTATTATAGTTTAAATCAGGACATTGTAGCATTACTTCTGGGTAAGTATCAAATTAACAGTATATCAACAAGTCTACTTCCTTTAATTGGAAGACAGGTACAATTTAAATTATACAGGCTCCCAAGGTACAGTGATCAGAAGTAACATGTGCTAGTAATTGCAAGACAGAGATAACACATTGAATTGTATAGGGTTGCTAGACAGGGTGATTTTGTTTATCTACTGTGAAATATGTAGGTCCAGACCAAATTCCAGATGTTTCACTCTCAAGACGGTTCAAACCTAGACGTTAAATTTCACTCCCACTTAAGTCTTTGTCAGTTGAATAGATGTTTCACTACTAATTATTTTTATCCAAGATGTTTGACAAAAAGGTTTTCAAATTTACTTTTGTTTCAAATAATAATTATACCCCCACTCAACAAAGTAAAAAGGGGGGGTTTACTGTAATCTGCTTGTCTGTCCGGCCATCTTTAGATTTTTCTTGTCCACCCAATAACTTAAGATTCCTTTGACCCACAGTCTTCATATTTGGTATTGAGATTGGCCATGATTAGTAGATGACCCCAATTGATTTTGATGTCAAAGGGGCCTTGACTAAATAAAATCTTGTCCGCCCAATAACTTAAGAGTCCTTTGACCAACAGTCTTAATATTTGGCATGGAGGTTAGTCATGATTAGTTGATTATGCTTATAGATTTTGAGGTTACTGGGTCAAAGGTCAAGGCCACAGGGACCTTGACTAAAAAAAGCTTATCCACCAAATTCATTTTCACCCAAAGTTTTCATATTTTCCAGACCATTTAGACCCCTATTGATTTTGAGGTCACTGGGTCAAAGGTCAATGTCACAGGGGCCTTGACTCCAAAAAACTCAACTGCTTTGAAATGCATAGGTCAACAGTCTTCATATTTGTTATTTAGGTTGGTTATGACAAGAAGATGGCCCCTATTGATTTCTAGGTGACCAGCTCAAAGGTCAAGGTCAGAAGGGCCTTGACTAAAAAAGAAGCTTGTCTGCCCAATAACTTAAGAATCCTTTGACCCACAGTCTTCAAATTTGGCATGGAGGTTACTCATGACCATTAGATGACCCCTAATGATTTTTAGGTCAAATGTCAAGGTCACAGGGGCCTTGACTGAAAAAAAGCTTGTCTGCCAAATAACATAAGAATGCTTTGACAGACAGTCAACATATTTGGCATGGAGGTTATTCATGACCATTTGGTGACCCCTATTTATTTTCAGTTCATTGGGTCAACGGTCAAGGGTGCTGAGTTCAAAAAGCATGTCTGCTCAATTGCCTAAGAATGCTTTTTCAACAGTCTTCATTTTTACCTCACCTGTCACAAAGTGACAGGGTGAGCTTTTGTGATCGCTTTTCGTCCGGCGTCCGTCCGTCCGTAAACTTTTGCTTTAAATGACATCTCCTCATAAACCACTGAGCCAATTTCATCCAAACTTCACAGGAATGTTCCTTTGGTGGTCACCTTTAAAAGTTGTTCAAAGAATTTAATTCCATGCAGAACTCTGGTTGCCATGGCAACCAAAAGAAAAAACTTTAAATATCTTCTTTTAAAAAACCATAAGAGCTAGAGCTTAGATATTTGGCATGAAACATCTTCTAGTGAGTGTCTACCAAGTTTGTTCAAATAAAAGCCCTTGGGTCAAAATTGGCCCCGCCCGGGGGGGTCATTGATTTTCCCTATATGCATATAGTTAAAACTTAAAAAATCTTCTTTTAAAGAACCCAAAGAGCTAGAGCTAAGATATTTAGCATGAAACATGTTCTAATGGGTGTCTACCAAGTTTGATCAAATAAAAGCCCTGGGGTCATAATTAGCCCCGCCCCTGGGGGTCATTGATTTTCTCTATATGCATATAGTAAAAACTTAAAAAATCTTCTTTTAAAGAACCGTAAGAGCTAGAGCTTAGATATTTGGCATGAAACATCTTCTAGTGAATGTCTACCAAGTTTGTTCAAATAAAAGCCCTGGGGTCAAAATTGGCCCCGCCCCGGGGGTCATTGATTTTCCCTATATGCATATAAGTAAAAACTTAAAAAACTTCTTTTAAAGGACCCAAAGAGCTAGAGCTAAGATATTTAGCATGAAACATCTTCTAATGAGTGTCTACCAAGTTTGTTCAAATAAAAGCCCTGGGGTCAAAATTGGCCCTGCCCCAGGGGGTCATTGATTTTCCCTATATGCATATAGTAAAAACTTAAAAAATCTTCTTTTAAAGAACTCAAAGAGCTAGAGCTAAGATATTTAGCATGAAACATGTTCTAATGGGTGTCTACCAAGTATGTTCAAATAAAAGCCCTGGGGTCCAAACTGGCCCCGCCCTGGGGGGGGGGGCGGGGTCATTGATTTTCCTTATATGTGTATAGCAAAAACTTAAAAATCTTCTTTGGAAAAACTCAAATAGCTAGAGTTTAGATATTAAGCATGAAACATCTTTAAATAAATATCTACAAAGTTTGTTAAAATAAACGCCTGGGGGTCAAAACTGGCCCTGCCCCAGGGGTGTCATTGTTTTTAACTATATGTGTATAGTAAAAACTTTAAAAATCTTCTTTTAAAAAAGCCAATGAGCTAGAACTTAGATGTTTAGCATGAAACATCTTCTTATGGGTGTCTACCAAGTCTGTTCAAATAAACAAATAAAAGCCCTTGGGTAAAAATTGGCCCGGGGTTGGGGGGGCCTATATACAGGTGAGCGACCTCAAGCCATCATGGCCCTCTTGTTTGGTATTTAGGTTGGTTATGACTAGTTGATGACCCCAATTGATTTTTAGGTGACTGTGTCAAAGGTCAAGGTCACAGGGGCATTTACTACAATAAGCTTGTCTGATTAAATGCTTAAAAATGCCTGTCCATATTATATTGATTTTAACAATTTCACGTTTGAAGCACATTAATGTGGGGAAGGGGTATTCAAGTCATGCAGTGGCAGTTTCAGTTTTGAGGTCAGTATGTCAAAGGTAAAGATAACTTTGATCTTTGCCATTAAAAACATGTAGAATACATTACTTAGCAATGCACTAGCTTACTACCGTCAGATTTGGCAGGGAGGATGTCCTTGAGCTTATAAATGACCACTGTTTATTCTGAAAAAGTGGTATTGGGGGTATTCACGCCATGGCATTGGCAATTCTAGTTAATTCAGTGTTGCACTTTTTTACTCTGAGGGCATTGTGCTTAAGAATTTATATGATTTCGAAGAAAATGATTTTAATGAATTTTTCTATAAATGAAAATACTTAATGGTATCAGCTAAAAAAAGTTGACTTTTGTTCTTTATTTATATCTGTTGCTTTGATGGATTATTTTCTTAGGGTCACCAGTAGCTTGTACTTTTTCTTTTATTTCAGTGTATTCTGTTTTTAAGAATGTAGCAGATAAATATGATCTCATGAATGATGCCATGAGCGTTGGAGTCCATCGACTTTGGAAGGATGCATTTATACAAAGACTTGCACCAAGACCAGGAACAAAACTTATAGATGTGGCTGGAGGAACAGGTAATGCCCCTGTTAATTGCAACCCTAGGGCCGTGCAGATAGGGCAATGTAGGCAGGAGTAGAGTAAAGAGCTGAGTGATAATCTTTCTCCAAACTGGCAATGTATTGTACATTTAAAGCTTTTGTTTTAACACCAAACAATGGGATATAAGTGCAGTCATTCAAAGCTTTGGAATTTACCATAATATGACTTACTACCCTGCAAGGTAGGGCCTTTACTGTAGGGTCTGATACTACATGTCAGTTTCACTGTGACCACCTGCTTCACTCAAAAGGGAGAGCATCAGATTAATAATCCAGGGGTCTCTGATTCATTCCTGGAGTATTAGCTACATGTGTATTTGAAAGTTGAATTGACTGCCAAAATATTATGGCTTGATCTTCATACAATGGGCTCCAGGGCATGCTTACTACACAATCTTACATGCTCAATAATTAGTGTCCACATCATTCTGTGAAAGATGTGGTGAGGTTGTAGTAACAAAATTAAGATTTAATTTAAATTTTATTGGTTTGGTTCTTAGTTACACAAAGACTGTAATGGTCATATGGTTACTTTCTATCATTCTTGGTGAAGGAAGACTTGAGGTGCCCCTTTTATGTATTATATTAGGCACAAGTGGACATCTGAGTAGAGAACTACCCTCATTCCATAAGCTACATGTATAATTGGTACATATAGCTGAATGGAGAAGCAAATGGTCTGGACTGGTTTCGAACCCACATGGGTGAGGGGCAAGTGATTTGAAGCAAGCAACCATAACCACTTGGCTCCAAAAGCCCCCATTCGAATTTAAAGTGTTAAAATATCATATACAAAGAAAAACACCACATTTACCTAAAATGCATTTTAATGGAAATATATACAATGTATAGAAACCTTTATTTTTTTCCTGATACATCTCTCTTTTGTTTATTGTTTCACTGAGATTAATTTGTTATAAGTGATATGGGTTTGTATGTATTTGCAGGTGACATTGCTTTCAGATTTCTAAATTATGTCAACTCACAGAGAGCCAAGGCTGAGGTTGATTTAGAAGCATCTATACCAAATGTTTACATGGACCCTTCTGAAGATACTGCTTCTAGTTCAGAGGATTCTGAGTTGCTAGGCAACAGAAGACCTGTCAGTCATGTGACTGTGTGTGATATTAACCAGTCAATGCTTGATGTTGGAAAGGCAAGGGCTTTGGATGCAGAAATTTATTCAGGTGAAACATTGGGTAATTTTCTCCCATTGTTGTAACATGACTTCCAAGGGACATGGTCTTTTTTCTTTCACATTGTTATGTACAGTGTATATAGTACGGGAAGCTTTTAAAAGCTTCTCCTTATACAGTTCAACATGTTTTAAGCGACCGAACAAGGAAAACTCACAAAACGGTCGCTTAATGAAACGGTCTCTTAAGACAAAGCATGATATAAAAAGTCAAAATTTATACATGACATCTTTCTTTTGCAGTAAGAATGTTTTTCATTTATATAAATGTTTAATAATTAGAACGTTCCAATAATCTAAATGGATGTT